CTTCAAAGATTATGGAGGTGAAAAGATCTATCGAAGGAATGGACGGGGACGAGGTCGTGACAGTCATGGAAGAAGACAAGGATGATTGCAGATCGTGATATTTGGATAATGGAGCAAGCAATCATATGTGTGGATGCAAAGAGAAGTTTGTGGAGATCAATAAAATGGTGAGAGGTAATGTATCCTTTGGAGATACCTCAAAGATTCAAATTGAAGGGATATGTACGATTCTGATCTCCTGTAAAGATGGTAGTCACAAGTTAATTCAAGATGTTTATTATGTCCCAAAATTAAAAAGTAATATTTTGAGTTTGGGCCAACTTCTTGAAAAGGAATATGACATCCACATGAAAAATATGCATCTTTGGCTTAGAGATTCAAGTGAAATTCTAATTGCTAAAGTGCATATGGCTAAGAATAGATTATTCTCTCTGAATCTTAAGACAATTGATGCAAAGTGTTTGAAGGTTAATGTGCAAGATGAATCATGGTGTTGGCACATGCGATTTGGGCACTTAAATTTTGAAGCGCTCAAATCAATGGGAGAAAAGAACATGGTGCATGGGATACCATCAATAAGCCATCCCAATCAATTGTGTGAAGCTTGTCTTCTTGGAAAACATGCAAGGAGGAGTTTTCCAAAGGAGGCCATGTCAAGATCAACCAAGCCGCTTCAGCTTGTTCACACTGATGTGTGTGGACCAATCAATCCACCTTCCTTTGGTAAAAGTAAATACTTTCTACTTTTCATTGATGACTTTAGTAGAAAGACTTAGGTTTATTTCTTGAACCAAAAATCTAAAGCTTTTGCTGCTTTTAAAATTTTTAAAGTACTTGTAGAAAAAGAAAGTGGCTATGAAATAAAAGCTTTAAGGTCCGATAGAGGAGGCGAATTCACTTCAAAAGAATTTAATGACTGTTGTAAATCTCATGAAATTTGTTTCCCTCTAACAGTACCTTATTCACCCCAACAAAATTGAGTTGTAGAGAGAAAGAATCGAACGATTCTTAATATGGCTAAATGTATGTTAAAAGCTAAAAATATGCCCGAGGAATTTTGGGCAGAAGCTGTATCTTGAACAACAGGTCTCTAACAAAGAATGTTAGAGATAAAACCCTTCAAGAAGCATGGAGTGGAAGAAAGTCAAGTGTCAAGCACTTGAGAATCTTTGGGGGCATAGCTTATGCTCATGTGCCACATCAAGGGAGAGCGAAGCTTGACGATCGAAGTGTCAAGCATGTGTTTGTTGGCTATGATACGAGTTCAAAAGGCTACAAGCTATACAATCCAAGTAGCGGCAAGATGGTAGTAAGTCGTGATGTTGAATTTGATGAAGAATTGCCATGAAAGTGGGAAGCTCAGGAAGAAACTACATATGATTTTCTTCCATACTTTGGTGATGAAGAAGAACCAGAGACCGTGGAACCTGTACAAGATACAAATCCACCTCCTTCTCCAACAAATGTTGCATCTCCATCTTCTCAAGAAAGTTCAAATGAACAACCACAAAGGACAAGGAGTATTCAAGAGCTCTATGAGGACACAGAGGAAGTTACTAATTTTGATTATTTATATTGTCTCTTTGATGATAGTGAACCAATGAACTTTGACGAAGTTGTTGAAGACAAATGGTGGAGACAAGCCATATAGGAGGAGATCGAGTCAATAGAGAAGAACAAAACTTGGGAGTTAACAACACTTCCCAAGGGTTATCGAGCAATTGGAGTTAAATGGGTATACAAGGCTAAGAAGAATGCTGATGGAGATGTGGAGAGATACAAGGCACGACTTGTGGCTAAAGGCTACAAGCAAAGTCAAGGCATTGACTATGAAGAAGTCTATGCACCTGTTGCCCGCATGGAGATGATTCGTTTGCTTATCTCTTTGGCGGCGCAAATGAAGTGGAAGATCCATCAACTAGATGTCAAGTCAGCTTTTTTGAATGGCTATCTTGAAGAAGAAGTCTATGTTGAATAACCATTGGGCTTTGTGGTCAAAAACCATGAAGATAAAGTATTGCGGTTGAAGAAAACTTTATATGGATTAAAGTAAGCCCCACGAGCATTGAATAGTTGCATCGACAAGTATTTTCAAGACAATGGGTCTACTCGTTGTCTCCATAAATATGCTCTTTACCTTAAAGTTTATACTAATGGAGATATCTTACTTGTTTGTCTTTATATTGATGATCTTATTTTCACGGGTAATAACCCAAGTTTGTTTGAAGCTTTTAAGAAAGATATGTCTCGTGAGTTCGAGATGACAGATGTAGGGCTCATGTCATACTACTTGGGCCTAGAAGTGAAGCAGATGGAGGATGGAATTTTCATCTCTCAATAAAGCTATACAAAGGAGATCTTGAAGAAGTTCAACATGCTCGATTGCAATCCCGTGAACACACCGATGGAGAGTGGGACAAAATTGTCCAAGTTTGATGAAGGAGAAAATGTGGATCCCACATTTTTCAAAGTCTTGTGGGAAGTTTGAGGTGCTTGACTTGTACCAGGCCAGATATACTCTTTTCAGTTGGAGTAGTAAGCCGCTTCATGGAAGCTCCTACGTCCACCCATTTGAAAGTCACTAGAAGAATTTTTCGTTACCTAAAAAGTACGATCGAGTTTTGATTATTTTATTCTTCTTCTAATGATTTCAATCTTATGGGATTTTGTGATAGTGATTATGCGGGAGATATTGATGATAGAAAAAGCACAACTAGCTTTGAGTTTTTCTTGGGTAATTCTGTTATTTTTTGGAGTTCAAAGAAACAGTTCATAGTTACTCTCTCGACTTGTAAAGCCGAATATATAATAACAACATCATGTACCTGTCATGCTATTTGGCAAAGAAGATTATTGAAGGAGCTCAATTTGCTACAAATTGAAGCTACAAAGATTTGTATTGATAACAAATCTGCACAGGCACTCGCCAAGAATCCAGTGTATCATTATCGAAGCAAGCATATAGATACAAGATATCACTTCATCAGAGAGTGCATTGCCAAGAACGAAGTCAAGCTCAAATATGTGAAGTCTCATGATCAGGCTGCAGATATCTTTACAAAACCTCTTAAGTTTGAGGATTTTCAGAGATTAAGATCAAGTCTTGGAATGAAAAAGAAAAATCAAAATTAAGGGAGAGATTTGTGGGGCTCATATTAAAGAAAAACAAAGAAGAAAATGGGAGGTGCCTAACTTTGTTGAAGAAAATGGGAGGTGCCTAATTTTTTTGACAACTTTGTTGAAGAAAATGGGAGGTGCTTAACTTTGTTGACAATTTTGTTGAAGAAAATAGGAGGTGCCTAACTTTGTTGAAATATTATAGGACTAAATCAACAACAAGACATCTTCTTTGTAGTAGTTGAATGGCATCTCTTACTATAAATAGAAGCCTCATTCTTCATTTCAAATACACCAAAATAAGAGAGAAGCAATAGAAATTAGAGAGAGTAATCCACAGATTGTAGTCTGTGAGATAAATAGTGAGTGTGAGTAATATTGTAGTGAAGTATTTTAAATAAAGAGTGTTATTTCTTTCAAGATTGTAGTAGTCTTTTGACACTACTAAGTTGTAATATTATAGTGGTTATATTGCTCTGCTCGGATACTGTATATTACCCATTAAAAGAGTTAGTGTCGTTGTTACTCACTTGTGTTATTATTATTTGTCGTGAATATTATTCCTGGGCGGGATTATTATTTTTCCCAACAATTTTTGCATATCAACCTAACATAAAACCAGTAAAGACATAAATTAGAAGTTAAAAAAGATTAGGTAACAAAAATCAGTTAGCAAGCAACTTCTATAGAAATTATATGGCAAATGGTATCACATGCAATGTTAGAACCTGTGCAGCGTAAGAACTTCCATCGTACAAACAAAGATGAACAATGAACTTACTTATCAAAAAGAAAAACACAATAAGAAACTTCAAGTCTTCCAGAAATACAAGCCACAAATGTAAACAAGTGATCCATTAAGTAAGAAAATGCAAAAGGTGCTTGAACACACATACATCTGTTCAATTAAAATAAATGCAACATAGAAGGAAAATTGTTTTCCTCTTCCTACTCCCTTTAACTATAAGCATGACATTTTAGTTGAAGAGTTTGCATGATGTTATGTTAAAATCATTTGCGTAGATTGATATCTTTCACATAGGAAATTTTTAACGGGTTAACGGTATATTTGATAAGAAAATTGAGTAATTCGCCCCCAAATTGTTAACTCGTTAATTATAAAATTTTAATCTGTTCATCGGCCATTACCGCGATAACCCGATACCAATAAGCAATAAGCCAATAAGCCGTTTTGCGGTTCGGTTAACGATTAATTACGGTTTTGAACACTTACCTTTAGTATTGCCAACTATTATGCTTGTTGTGTGATTTCAAACAATTGACATTTTCCCCTCCTGCTCTACATACGATTTTTTTTGCCCAATGACATTTTTAGTTTCTATCTTGTAGTACCTTTTATGTTATCTATAATATTTTTATTTTTGTATCTAGGTGTTTACCTATAATTTCAATAATATTATATGTTATTATGGAATTAAATTAAGTTTATTAACATTATTAAGAGGAAAAACTTTATTATGAATTTTTACAAAATCTGTTGCTTACTTTTTATAATTGTTATTTTAGTATTTGTGCATAAAGTATGTGTGTATGTCTCTCGAGGTGTGTTTTATTGAAATTCTACTTTTTCTTTTATTGTCACTTGCGTATATAAATTTTTAAATTTTGATTTTCATTAATGAGATTTTTTATAAAATTGGGATCCCCTTTTTTTCCGATCAAATTTAGGATTCTTTTTTCTTTTCTTTTTTTCCGGATCAAATTGGGATTCTTTTTTTGTTTTTCTTTGTTGGGGTCGAACTAGGATTCTCCACCCGTGGGGCCTGAGGCCTATAAAAAGGGACTATAGGTGTACTTGCAAATTCATCACACACAGACACACTTGCAAATTTTGATTTTTGCGGTTTGTATCGTCAAAAATAATGGTGGCGGCAGCGGTGGCGGCAGAGGCGGCGGCGGAGACAGTTGCAGTTCCATTGTTGATGCTAGCAGAGGAGGAGGAAAAGAAAGGAATTCGTGAGTTTTGGGACTTGTCAAAGGGTGTCACCTATAGTATGAGCTTCCCCGAACTGGTGGGGAAGTGCTGCTTGGGTGTGGGATTTCCAGGTTGGCTTTTCACGGCGGACGAACAAGGTCACATGAATCTCTTCCATCTCTTCTCGCGTTCCCTAATTAACCTCCCAGACATGGACATGTTGGAGGGTTTTGATTACGAGGATGAAAAGGGTAATTGTGCTCTTTATGTCGAAAAAGCAGTGATTTCTTTGGATCCTCTAATCTCAAAAGAAGACTATGTTTTGGCCCTAATTCAAGGGTATCCTCGGACTTTTGCTTTTTGGAGGCCAGGAAGCAAGTGCTTTACCAGTGTATCAGAGACTGTACCCGAATGCGCCTATTCTGACATCACTTGGGATGATGGGCAGTTCTATGGTGTTGATTTTTGGGGCAACGTTATCATCTTCGACTTCAGATCAGGAAATTATCCAATGTCCGCAAGAGTTGTGAGATCAGAGATACCTCCTGAGATAATGAGAGGAAACCTAGTTTACATCGTCTATTCAATGGGTGAACTATTAGTGATCAATCGAGACGGAGCTTATGAGGACGATGATACTGGGATTTATGGGGCTAAACATTTCCATGTGTACAATATTAATGATATTGATGGCACTACTCCTAGTTATTCCGAGGTTAAAGACTTGGGGAATAGGGCATTGTTCGTTGGCAATAGTGCAACTGTGGCTGCTGTTGAACACTTAGCTCATGGGAATGGGATCCAGGGCAACCATATTTATTACACAGATAATTGTACAGACACATACTTCAATCTTGAACAAGGTGGTGGCAAAGACATGGGCGTATACAACTTGCTTGATGGAACCATTGTGCCTCACTACACTGGTCAATCTTACCACAAACTCACTCCACCTCTTTGGATTTTCAGCAAGCAACTCTCCCTCTCTTGATTTGGACTAGGTTATTTAGTGTGCCATTTGCTCTATAATAATTATTTAGTTTACTTTTACTATTGCTTTGTCTTTACTTTGATTCCTAGCTTTCTTTACTGAATGAAAGTATTATTTTTTCTAATTTTGCCAACCGATCCCTTGTAGATATCATGTAAATATATATTAAAATATTAATGTATAATATACATATTTTTATATATAATCAATGTATATTTTTTATATATTTAACTAGCGAATGTAATTATTTTTAGCCGACCGTCCAAATATATTGGAGCGGGTCAGGGTCGTTGGATATTTTAAAAGATACATGTGGGTATATTTAATACAAATAGTACAAGTGGCGGATTAAGAAAATGCCACATGGCGAAATTAAAGTAAAAAAATTGACCAGGTTAGTATGTCATATATAGGGGTAAGTTTGAGCTAAAAAACAAATGTTATGGGCATTAACGGAAGGTATTTCTGAGCTATTTTCAACACGTTAAGGGTATTGTTGGCCCTTCTGTTAGATATAGAGGTAAGTTTGAGCCCAAAAACTAACGTTAAGGGCATTTATGACCCAATAAGTGGAAGGAGGCCAAAATTGAGTCATTTTCAATACCTTAGGGGCATTTTTGGCCCTTTTCCGTATATAAAAATATGTATATTATACACTAATATTTTAATATATATTTTACATGATATTATTTTTAGGAGAAATTATACGGTGTAGTTTTCTCTTCAAATTTTGCAAATCTTAATAAGTTTAACAAATATAAATTTTAATTTGCAAATATAAAAATGATAATGTTCTATTTATATGATTCTAAAGGAGAAGAAAATAAACAGATGGAAAGAAAATTATTTAAAACCTTTAATTATATACATATCCAACTGCATAGCACATTAATGGACTTCACATGATCTTTTCAATGAGAACTAATAGTGTTTTAATATATAACGATAGAGCTAAAATATTAACAAAAACCGTCGTTCCATTGTCAAATTTGCTTAATAAATTCGAGTTATAGATCATAATTAATAGGAAAAACTACACCTTATAATTTCTCCTAAAAATAATATCATGTAAATATATATTAAAATATTAATGTATAATATATATATTTTTATATATAATCAATATATATTTTTTATATATTTAACTAGCGAATGTAATTATTTTTAGCCGACCGTCCAAATATATTGGAGCGGGTCAGGGTCGTTGGATATTTTAAAAGATACATGTGGGTTTATTTAATACAAATAGTACACGTGGCGGATTAAGAAAATGCCACATGGCGAAATTAAAGTAAAAAAATTGACCAAGTTAGTTATGTCATATATAGGGGTAAGTTTGAGCTAAAAAATAAATGTTATGGACATTTGCGGACCAAAAGGTTAACGGAGGGTATTTCTTAGCTATTTTCAATACGTTAGGGGTATTGTTGGCCCTTCTGTTAGATATAAGGGTAAGTTTGAGCCCGAAAACTAACGTTTAGGACATTTATGACCCAGTAGGTGAAAGAAGAGCAAAATTGAACCATTTTCAATACCTTAGAGGTATTTTTGGCCCTTTTCCGTTCTATCTATTCCAAAAGTAAGGTCAAGAGCCCATCGTCCCCTATCTTTTTCTCTAAATAAATCATACAACCATTCAATACTTTACTGGTCATTGAAGATCAACACGAAAAATGTCGAACACAATTCACCCATATATACCAATATCAATAATCTTGCTGCAAAGAATTAAAAAAACAAGAACAGAAGAAGAAAAAAAGATGTCTCACTACTCACAGCGATAACAACAAGATATTCCATGAAAACATCAAACAATCCATTTGATAATAGTGACATTTCCGGCGGAGCTTCACAATAAGAAACATGGCAGAAAAGCTTTAAACAAACACACCTCTCTGTTCATTAATTCCACAAAATTCAGTCCACTCCAAAGTTTTGTACATCCTTTATACTGTCTTTAATAAAAATTAGTGCTAATATTTCATAAATCCAACTACAACTAACAATACTTAAAAGCAAACACATATAGAGAGGAAAGAAATAAAGCTAACACTTTAAAGGAGTTCAAACATCCATTCATAGTCAAATAAGAGGACAATAGGAATAGGCAGACGCACCTAATAATTGCAGAACAGCAGTAGACGACCAAATAAAAGTCTAAAATGAGGAATGGAGCTCAGTGTCAAGACCCAATTCTCTTATAGGTCGTGATGACGCCCAACGCCGCCGCTAGGCAAGCCAACAGTGAACTAACCACATGATTTCTCTTTTTAATAAATATCCAAGTAATTAAATTTTCCTTAACTAAAAGATTTACCAAAACAACTGTTTTAAATAAATAAAACTAAGCAACTGAGTAATCATAACCATAGAAAATAATCCAAAATCACAAGTCTGCTAGTGTATGCCAAGACCTAGTGTCACAAGTATATGAGCACTAATAGATTATACAAAACTCTAGCTACTATCTGAAATGAAAATAGACAGAAATGTATGTAAAGGAGAGACTCTAGGTGCCGCGGAACGGCTCAGGAAGTAGCTCATCACTAGGCCTCCGAGTAACGAGGATGCGCGGCGGTGTAATCGCCAGATGCACCTGCCTCAGATCCTGCACGGTTAGTGCAGAAGTGTAGCGTGAGTACATAAACAACATGTACCCAGTGAGTATCAAGTCTAACCTCGAAAAAGTAGTGACGAGGGGTCGACTTCGACACTTACTATGGGCTAACAATAAGAATACAGAAATTCTAAATAAGCATGGGTTATGTAAATAATAATAATAACTCATTAACAAACAGGAACAAATTATTCTTTCACAAATTAATAAATTCCAAGTAAATTCCCATCATCAATAGTTGTAACCTCACAAGCAACCAAATAATATCAAATATGATTAGGCTCCGAGTATTATTAAGCACGATTTATGCCGAGGTCGTACGATCCGATCCAGAATAACGTGTACACTTGCGAGAGACGTGTGACACGATTCATAGATGCATCTATTTTACTGCCGAGGTATTTGGCCCGCTCCACAAGAACAGAGGATACTTTATAAGCATTTTTGACTTAAACGTTATAACAAGGCTATTACACAATGTAATACAATTTGCATTATCGGTCAAGTAATTCGCTCAAAGTTTAAGCAAGTGAAATCCGATATTTTACAATTCCTCTAACAAGTTCTAATATAATTTAGGCACTTAAATTAATAAGTAGGTGCAAACATTACAAGTAATTCATAATTTGAGTCCTAAACTACCCGGACATAAGCATAAATAGTAGCTACGCACACACTCTCGTCACCTCGTGCGTACGTAGCCCCCACAATTAGAAGCAAATATTAATTTGAATTATCTACGTGGTAAATTCTCTCTTATAAGGTTAGACAAGAGACTTACCTCGTCTCAAAGCTCACTTTCTGGCCTCAAATTCACTCTAAAGCCTCAACTCGGTGCCGAACAATATGAAACTAGTCAAATATTGTATAAATCAATCAATATATGTTCAAAAGTTCATATTCTAACTGTTAAATTGATTACCCAACCCCAATTGAAGGATTTCTAAAATTTACCTCGAGGCCCACGTGCCCGGATTCCGAAAATTTTCGAAGAAAATTGTTACCCTTAACCTCACGAACTCAAATATATAATTTTCACTAAACTCCATAACCATTTTCGTGGTTAAATCCCATTTTTATCAAAACCTAAGTTTTTTTTTTTTTATCTAAACCCATAATTTCTCAAATTTTACATGTTAAATCTATCCATAATCTATGTATTTAACTCACATTGTATAGAAATTACTTACCTCAAAATGCAAGGTGAAAACTCCTCTCTAAGAGCTCAAATATCGCCCAAGGAATGCAATAAATGAACCCAAAATAGTTGAGTCCCGACTTAAATGAAGGTTCTGCCCAGCAGAACTTTCGCATTTCCAGTTACTGGGCTGCATTTGTGGTACCGCATCTGCGATACTAGGTCCGCTTCTGCGGAGTTCCTCAGGCCCAGCGATGGCCGCTTCTGCGGACGGGGTCTCGCTTCTGCGGTAAGCGTGCCGCTCCTGCGGCTTAGGCCGCTTCTGCGATTTTCCCAATCGCACTTGCGTGTCCGCAGGTGCGCACAATCACCCGCATTTGCGGTCCATGGCCAAACGCTCCAAAGCCTCTTCTGCGACCAAAATCACGTACCTGCGGGCTGGCACCTGCAGTCAAAAGCTCGCAGGTGCGGGCGCACCAGAACTGATGCACCAGTAGCCCTTTTGAGTCTTAACTTAATCCGCGCATCATCCGAATAGCATCCGGGCCCCCCGAGGCCCCGTCCAAACATACCAACAAGTTTGAAATCATAAAACGGGCTCGCTCGCACCCTCGGATCGCGAAAAACAACATTAAAACCAAGAATCGCCAACCCAAAACCAATAGGATCAACTTATGAACTTCAAATTCTTCCAACTTGCTCCGAACGCGCCAAAACATACTTAAACTACTAGGAATGACACCAAATTTTGCGTGCAAGTCTTAAATCACCATACGAAGCTATTCTCATGCTCGGAATTCCAAACGACCTTGATAACATCAAAACCTACTCCAAACCAAATTTAAAGAACTTTAAAACCTTCAAAGTGCCAACTATCAATATTAAGCGTCGAAATGCTTCCGGGTCATCCAAAACCCAATCCGAACATACACCCAAGTCCAAACCTATTGAAACTGTCAAATTCCGATTCCGAGGTCGTTTATCCAAAATATTGACCAAAGTCAAACTTAGCCTTTTAAAGCCAAACCAAGGAACCAAGTGTTCCGATTTCAACCCGAACCCTTCCAAATCCCGAACTAACCATTCCCACAAGTCATAAAATAGTAAAAGCATATACGGGGAGTCTCATTTAAGGAAACGAGGTTCTAAAAAGCAAAACGACTGGTCAGGTCGTTACATTCTCCACCTCTTAAACAAACGTTTGTCCTCGAACAGGTCTAGAATCATACCTGGAGTGCTGAATAA